AACTGGTTTCTAGTGCAAGCGTCTGATTTGAAAGGTGGGTGCGCAACCGTTGAGTCCAGCGACATCCCGTCCGCGGATTAAATCACGAAGACTACTATGACGAAGATTACTACTTAATATTCATTAGCCACGCCTTCGTTGTTGGAGGGAAATAACGCCGCGTCACCATTATCTAATTAATATGCAATGAGCTTCACCGTTGCCATTGGAAGGATGCCAAGCAAATTAGCAAAATCTGATACATATTTATGATGTAATGTTTCGCCATAGTACAAGTGTAATAATATTTTTGATATTTAGTAAATGGGTCTGAGGTTCGATTCAATTATTTTTACATTGTTGCCACGTTCATATGGAGGGCCAAATTACTTGAATTAAAATGACTCAAACTTAAATAATTAAATAAATGTTGAAATATATAAATAAATCGTTAAATAAATGAACTATATAATGAATTAATGAATAAAAGCATTTAAAAATGTATTTATATAATAAAAGAAACACGCCAACAGATTGTGGTATGAACCATGCCGTTATTCCCGTTCAGATGACTGTTGAGAATTAGAAAACTCGTGTAAATTTGACAGTAAAACAAAAAGTAGTTTTAATAGCTTCTGTCTTTTTCTACTCACATTAAAATAAAACAAGGAACATTTGATTTCACCTTGACAAGAATAAAGAAAATACAAAGTGACGGGATAATTAATTTTGAGATAGATTTGGATAAATAATGTTGTTAACTAATGGTGAGACGGACGGGCGGACTTTTATTTTGTAATCCCCAGGCCGGATGTTGTTTTGTCGCAGCAGCAGCAGCAGCAGCTCAAGCGTCTCGCCAGCGCCGCCGCGGTCACACAGTCATCGTGATGGCTGCCGTGTGGCGAGCTCGCAAATTTGCCCGCTGTGTCGTCCGCTTCTCTGATCGTGATCTGTAAAATACTCGCTGAAAGCACGACTTTAAACGAGCTCGCAAAATAAGCTGTTATGGTCAGTAAAAGCTGTGTTTCTAAGATTAGCGTAGCTGCTAATCAGGTGATAACATTAGCATGTTAGCAGTCATGACGCGCATTAGTATTGTCACACACACCCGAATGTTTTTTGCCTGAATAACAGTCTTCAGTAATTTCTTATCGTGTAATAATAACTACATATATGCATAATTTCCTCGTGTATATGTAAGTTGGTAAACAGTTGTGCATACATGTTGTTTACAAAGTTTGGAGTTCTGCAAATCACGCAACAGCTGGACCTGTGTTTACATGCGCTGCAGAAGAGTTTAGCTTGATAGTCATGAGTGCATGTCAAGCTCTCTGATTGGTCGCTCTTGTTTTCCACACCAAACATGGACGTGGTTATAGGTTTTTAATATGCGTCACCTTTTTTTTTTTT